GCAAAAGACTGAAATGACATTTTTCCAAAGAAGACACAAAAATGGCCATCAGGCACACAGAAAGATGCTCAACACGGCTAATCATCAGGAAAGTAGAATTCAAAACCACAATGAGATGTCACCTCACACCCGTCAAGATGGATATTACGGAGAAGAAGGAGATAAGTTTTGGTGAGGAGGTGGAGAAAACAGAACACTTTTACATTGTTGCTGGGAATGTAAATTAGTATAGTTATTACCAAAAACAGTTTGGAGGTTTCTAAAAAAGTAAAATGAAACTACCTAAAATTCAACAATACCACTACTTAGTATATAACTGAAGGAAAGAAAATCAGTATCTGAAAGAGATGTCTGCAATCCAGTGTTCATTGCAGCGTTAGTCACAGCAGCCAAAATATGAAAGTGACCTAGGTGTTTCTTGATTAATAAAGGGATAAAAATTATGGCATATATACAGTAGAATATTATTCAGCCATAAAAAAAGAAATCCTGCCACTTCCAACATCACAGATATAAGCCTAGTGGGCATTGTACTAAGTGAAGTGATCCAGGCACAGAAAGACAAATGCTGCATTATCTCACTTCTGTGAGGAATCTGAAAAACAAACTCAGAGAAGCAGGGAGTAGAACAGTGGTTGACAGGCACTGAGGTGTGAGGAAAATGAGGAGATGTTGGCCAACGTACAAACTTGCACTTGTAAAATAAGTACATTCTCTGAGAATAATTGTACAGTGTGGTGACAGTAGCTAATAATACTCAATTGTATGCTTCACATTTGTTAAGAGTAGATCTTGTGTTCTCAAAGGATAACTACATGAGGTGGGTGATGTGTTAACTAACCTGATTGTGTTAATCATTTTGAAATGCATACATATATCAAATCACCACTTTGAACACAGTAAATGTGTACAGTTTCTTTGCCAATTATGCCTCAGTCACATAGGAGGGATGGAAGTTAGTGAACTAATAAAAATGACACACAGCTTTCCCTGTCTAAAACACTGAAGTTATTCTGGCTTTCTGGGCAGGACGGTGTTGTTGTGCTGTGGCCAAGAGCATGGCCACGGGATTCAGATCTCTTGCGTGAAAGCCTGGCATGGCCATTGCTTTCCTCTCCATATCACCTATGAATCAGAGATCACAATGATATCTACGCAAGGGTAGTTGTAAGTATCGTATTGGTGTACCTTACAGGCTAGGAACAGCGAGGGCTCATGGGAAGTGCTCAATATAGTGGTGTTATAATTTTTAGTTGTGTGTTGCCAGGCTCAGCTTATAATGGGGAGGGGGGTGTTATTCTTAGGCACACAATCTCACCATCCAGAGAGAGGCTCCTTTATATCTGCACCTATATCTGACAGCATCCAAGATTTCAAACCATGTGGTAGAATTTACTCTTTTGGATATTTTCATGTAGTGCAATTTGCTCTTTTGGATATATTTTCTGTCTTTGTAAAACAACAGAGAAGCTTTAAAGGAAGACACATTAAAAAGGAGTGTTCGTTGAGACAGTGTTATAATTGCTTCTAAGCCATGTCCATGGACAGACAGGACATACGTTTGATCTTAAAAGGAAGAAAATAAATCAGTACTTTATACTGATATTTCCAACATAAATAAAAGTTATAAGTTTTCGTCTTACCTTTCTATATTTTATGTTTATCTATCCACTCATGAAACAAAATCTGTTTTTAATAAATGACTTTCAAGTTTTACCTTAATATGTTTGTATACCACATACACATACATTTGTATATCACAGCATATGCATGTATGTTACTATATCCACCTATATACACAAATATATTAATCCTGTTACATATGAATATATTTATATAACCAACCCTGTATATATCCACCTCTTTGTATATGAGAGACTCTGACTATATATATTCAACTATGTATTTGTGTATTACACATTTTAATCTATATATTGTATACACATATATATCACATAATGTGTTTATTATAGTATACACATATATCTAGACATAGTTAACAGAATAATTATATTGCTATTATTCTTATTAATGACAAATGTTAGCTGTTGATCAGTATCACAGTTTGTAATTGTATGGTAATGGTATTTTCCATGTCAACTCTTCATGAATACTGTTTGCACCTATTGCTGCCAACTATGTGTTAAGGATCTAAATCAATGCCTCACTTACACTAGATACTCAATAGTTATTAATTGAATGATTTTTTTACTCATGAATTCCTCCAATGTAGAACTTTGCAACTCTTTTTTCATTTTAGAATCACCTGGAAAGCTTTTGTTTATTTACTTTATCAATACCTTCTCTTGGGTCCCATCCAAGACAATTAAATCAGAATATAGGAAAAATGGGCTCAGGCAGTGCTCCCTGTAAAGCTCTCCAGGTGATTCAAAGGCACAGCCCTGGGATGAGAACCATTGATCTCATACCTCCGTGAGCCAGCATTTAACTCCTGCTGAGGGCAGTGGTTGGGCCTCTGTGAGTAAAGGAGAGGCTGTCCCCTTGGGCATCTTGGATTATGCACTAGAGGATGAGTTCTAGGCCAGTGCATCCCAACTGTAACACTGTGTCTTCTGCTTGGCCTTCCTGATTTAGACTTTTGTTGAGAAATGGAAAAGTGTACCTCTCTGTACATTCGTGCTAGCCTTGGGTTCAGGCCCTCAGATTCCCCATTGAGCAGAACCATTATAATAAGTTGGAGCAGAGACACTTGTACTCAGTATCAATATCTGTCTGTCAGAAAGAGAGCTTGACTGTGATCAGATCCACAACTTCTCCCAGAAACTGTCCAGGAGCTATTAGACAGTAATGGCTTTCTGCTGCCACACAATCTGGGTGGGATTGAGACAAATCCTTTCTCTGGAAGCCCTGTTGGAAACTGTGTTAAATTCTGCCGACTTGTGTTTCTTCCTGAAATGGAAGGTGGGCTTCCTGATCCAGTTTAGTTCTCTACCCTGCTGTGAGAAAGATATTTTGGATATGCAAGTCTGGTCTTCATCTGCACATAATGTTACAAGGCAGACATTCCTGGGCCATTTTGCAGATAAAAATCTGAAGTCAGAAGACATAAGTGACTTTCATACAGTCAGAGGGTTCTGCAGTGGAATAGCCAGCATTTGAACTGTGGTTGATTGATTAGTTTTTCAGTTTCTTTTCTTTGCCACTACTTCCCTTTTCAGTCTGTACTAGTGAAGTGATTTGTTAACGGGATAAATATAAACATGGACTTTGAATTCAGACAACTTAGGCTTGAATTCAAGCATTTCCCCTTTCTAACTTTGCTGTCTCGGGAAACTGATGCAACTTCTCTGAGCCTCAGGAACCTGACCTGAAGGTGAAAGATAAATAATGCTCATAATAGCTTTATTAGGACTAAATGTCATAATAAAACTAAAATGCTTAATCACATTTTTGGTACAGAATATTCAGAAAAGGCCATTCGTACAAAAGTTTAATTGAAATTTTTCCGTTGAATCTTTGATTGTTCATTTTTATGCTTTAGAATATTATTATTATTATTATTATTATTATTATTATTATTATTTTGAGACGGAGTTTCGCTCTTATTGCCCAGGCTGGAGTGCAATGGCGCAATCTTGGCTCACTGCAACATCCGCCTCCTGGGTTCAGGCAATTCTCCTGCCTCAGCCTCCTAGTAGCTGGGATTACAGGCACGCACCACCATGCCCAGTATTTTTTTTTTTTTTTTTTTTTTGTATTTTTAGTAGAGACGGAGTTTCACCATGTTGACCAGGATGGTCTTGATCTCTTGACCTCGTGATCCACTGGCCTCGGCCTCCCAAAGTGCTGGGATTACAGGCGTGAGCCACCGGGCCCAGCCCAGAATATTATTCTTAAGTAGCTTTCTCAACAAAATAGTGGCACTTGCTAAATTTTAAATTACGAATCCCAATTTAATAGAAAACTGGTGAAATGAGGTCCAATACAACCAACCAACAAACATACAAACAAAAACTATAGATCAATCTCACTAACAATGGAGATTAAAATTATAAATTAAAGTGCTAACAAATTAAATTTTTTAGGGTGTGAAAAAAAACTCACAACAACTAATTAGACTTATTCCAGAATGCAAAGATGATTCAATGTTGCAAAAACTTACTAATGTAACCTACTTAAGGTATCAATAGAAAATATAGTCAAAAGTAAATAATATAAACTCTAACAAATCAGTAGATTTCTTTCAACTGCACATGTATTTTTATTGATCTAGAAAGTTTATAATATTTAGTAGATATTAAAATATTATCAGATATCTAAAAAGTTCTTATAGATTAAAATAATTCAAATCTTTTTCAGTATTTATCTACCTATGTATCTATGCATTATAAAAGTCAACATCCAAATCTGATTAAAACGTATCTGTCTAGATATCCAACACCATATTTGTTAACAGCATTTCATGTGAGAGATTAGTTAAGGGTGTGCTCCTACTTAACACAGATTTTAAAGATACACACTATACACTTATTCACAGTTATTTCTAGCTAGTAGAATAACAGTTCATTTATATTTTCATACTTTTAATTAAATTTTTTTGTATTTTAAAAATCAGACATATTAATTTTCAAGTGAAATTTGTTATTGAAAGAATAATTTCATAAACATATTATAAATATTTTATTATAAAATATGTTTTGATATCTATTTATGTTAGATATGGAAATATCTTGCTCTGAACAAGGTATATAAAATATTAAATATAGAAAATGCTTCTTATAAAGTAATTTTTATAAAGGCCTCTTGTCATTATCAAAAAAAGATACTGTGGTTTGAGTGAACACAGTCAGCATACTTTGAATGAGTAATTATGCTGTGGAGGTAGGCTTACATTAGATTTTCATCTCTGTCCTCCTAAACCTTTTCCTGAAGACTGCTATTGGACATGATTTCAGTATTTGCGAGTACTCACTTTCTTCCATCTACCTATCGTGTAGTTATTTAGTGCGTGGCCTTAGGATTTCAGTCATCCTACTTACCAACTCTCCAGTTGAGTTGAGCTGGGCTGTGAATGCCAGTGAGGTCTGAGGAACTGGAAAAAGCCATTGGAGAGAGCAGGGATGCTAGTGGGTCATCACAGTTGTCTAAAAGATACGAGGAGAGAGGGAGAGAAACCAGATTCTATTAGTAAGAAATATTCCATGAGAAGAAAGGTTGAGAAATTAACTACCATCATTTATTAACCACCTGCTCTGAACAAGGTCAGGTACTTCCTGTTTCCATGTGTTATTGCATCTGCTCCTCACAGCAGCCCTGAAAGACAGGTCCAGCTTTCTTTCACAGATGGAGAAAATTAAGGTCAAAGATGTCAAGTAGATTGTCCAAGGTCTCAATGTTAGAAAATAGTGCAGCCAGAATTCTCACCCAAATTTCTCTGACTCAAAAACCCAACTATCTGCATTTTTTCAGTAAACCACTTGATCGAAGTCTCAGATTATTGCTATTGAGATTATTCTATAAGAAGGGAGATGACTAAACGGGAAAAAATGGTTTGACTACTCTCCCATCTTCAGTGGCTCCCATAATAATTGTGTCTCGAGGAGTAGGATAATTTAAAATGTCTTACTCCCAGTTGTGTGAAAGTCTTTAGAAAACAATTTACTTATTTTAAGAACTTGTATTTATTCCCTGAAGCAATAGTTAGTAGTCATAGATCTTGTATATCATGAATCTGATATTCACTTCAACAGCTATCCTTCCTACTTTTCCTAAATATGGCAAGTATTCTTTCTAAGGCTTTTTCCATGATGTCCAAATGTGGGACAGGGTGGGGCCATGAGCAAAGATGCTTGTATTGACCAGGTAGATATACCCCATCCAGGTTGACACTGATGTCCTGACCATCCAATCTCATGGAGAGGAACTGCTCTTCACTCGTAGTATATTGTTGCCATGATTGAAATTTTTGTCATTCCTAAAATTCATGATAAGATTTAATGTCATGGTAACAATATGAAGAGGTGAGGCGTTTCAGAGATGATTAGCCCATGAGCGTTCCACAATCATTGGATTAGATTTGCTGCCTTAACAAAAGAGCTTTCAGGATTGGGTTCTCTCTCTCATTCTCTTGCCTTCTGCCATGTGATGATGCAACAAGAGAGCTCTCAATAATGCCAGAACATCGATATTCAGTTTCCTAGCCTTTAGAACTGTGAGCCAATAAATTTGTGTCCCTTATAAATTGCTCAGTCTCAGGCATTCTGTAATAGCAACACAAAATGGTCTAAGACAATTGATCATCTAAGTTTTTTCTAATAATTTACTTATCTATTATATTTTCCATTTGGTGGCACACACTTTATGGGGCCCTAGCAATGAATTTGATACATAACAAGCCTTTGATAAAGGTTTGTTGAAAGAATGGGATGGTGAGCTAATGGAATAAAAAAGGAAAGAATGGAAGGCAGGATGGATCAATCAATCAACCAATTAATCAACGTAATATTGCCAACATTATTTTCCTATATTTTGTCTTGTACACATTTAATTTTATAGGACAAATGTCCTATAATTTCATGACTTCATGAAATCTAGACATATGTCATTTAAAACAAATTTAAAATGTGTCTTTTTCTTTGAAGGTAAACTTCATGGTAGTAAAGTCTCTCAGAAAAAAATTGGTTTGAATTCTTTGTTTTTAAAGTGCACTTACAGAGAATTATGCTTGTTTATTTAACAAATTCTTACAGAGCAGTATTTCAGCTAATTGCAAAAAAATTAATTAGAAACATAAGGATTATTCTTCATTAAGTGTGTTAAAAAATCAACTGGCAAAGCGTATTTTGAGTTTTTCTCAAACACAAATGTTGAAAAATATTTTGAGGTATTTGACAAATGCAAAACAGAGCCAGATCCTCACTGAAGAAGAGTAACATAAAAATCACAGATATGGTGTCTTGGCAGTTATTGGTCATTTGGTGAATAGATCAGTACCATTCTACCTCTGGAAGAACATGCAGGTGACAGAAAGTGCATACGCACCTCAAAGCATTTGTTTAAAGACACACATTTGTTGCATTATTTATGTATTAGAAGACAATATATAATAATCACTTATTAAATTTTAAACAACATAAGGCAGATCTTGCATGTGCATATGCCTGTTTTGTCATCAAGAAACATCAGACAAATGCAGAAAAAAAGCGAGCCGCATAGGAACATACAAAGCACACACACACAAACACACACATATATAGCATCAACATGGTGTCTACATTCACAGGTGCATGCTAAGCCTCACCCATCCAGATGTGTAGGTATAACCATCCTCTTATTTCAGGTAACACTCTCTCCACCACTTAACAAGAATTCACAGCCTTTCTGACACTCATTTGCATGGCAAATGGTAGCTCTTTTTAAGGTAAAGTATTATAGCTATTCTATATAGTACTTATGTATTTATTAGACACTTAGCATGTATACAACTCTGCTCCTAGTTTTATTAGATTTTTATAGTCTTTTATGTGTGACTGATGAAATTTTTTAGTATTATACTCCTAACCCTAACTCTCCCCTAAATCTTTTCTTATAAAGTTTTTATTGTACAATTAGCAATCCATTTTTACAAATGCATATATTGTGTTGTAGCAGAATTGACTGTACTTCTGTATATGTTTCAAGGTTTCAAGTTAATTCAATCATAGATTGCTTAAGAAACAACTCTGGAATTTATTCTCTTCTTTTTCTTTTTTTCTTTTTTTTTAGTAATCTTCATGTAAAAATGTAAATTGTTAAAATGATCATGGAATAGTAGAAGTAACCTAATCATTTCAAATTATTTCAGTCCAACAGACCACAAATGGTGGCTCACGCCTGCAATCCCAGCACTTTGGGAGGCCGAGGCAGGTGGATCACAAGGTCAGCAGTTTGAGACATGCCTGGCCAACATAGTGAAACCCCATCTTTACTAAAAATACAAATATTAGCCGGGTGTGGTGGTGGGCACCTGTACTCCCAGTTACTTGGGAGGCTGGTCAGGAGAATTGCTTGAATCTACAGGCAGAGGTTGCAGTGAGCTGAGACTGTGTCACTGCACTCCAGTCTGTGTGACAGAGAAAGACTCCGTCTTAAAAAAGAAAAAAAAGACTCTGTCCAAACAATATTATACAGTCTCGTTTTGTGCATATTCTCAAAGAGGCAATCAGGATAGGTTTGGGTAAAATGGAATCTAGACCTCAAGGAGCGCAGAGGCCATTGAGAATATAGATATGTAAACAAATAAATAAACTGATAAGGAAATTTAGGAGACTTTCACTATGACCACACCAAGCTAGCAAAATTAGAATCGATCAGTACAGACTCTCAGAAAAGTGGATTTTTGGTTCTTCCAGACCTGTACAGTCCTCTCCATTACAAGGTGCTGACCTCCAGGAGAACTAAAGTTTCCAGAGCCCATTAGCCTGTGGCAATAATGCCATTCCCCACTCTTCGTTTTCTCCTTTGAAAGATGTCTACCTTGTGTCTCGGTTTCTAGGAACAGTGGCTACATTTCGGAAATTAGTAAATCTATAAAAAACAATCTATGCTAATAGAAAGATCCAAGGAATATTTTTCAATGCTTCTTTCCTCATATACCTTATACATTTGAACAGTGGCTTTTGGGAAACATATCTTAACTTTGGATTTCGTGCCCCTAAAAGTAATAAGAATAGGAAAATCTCAAATCTAAAAGGAAAAAAGCCCACACCCTCATCTCCCAGAGCAGATAAATCTTTCCCTCTGTCACCTCTGTGTCACATGAACCAATTTGGCAACCTTGCATACATTGATACAGAGCAAGTCCCTGTGAAATTATCCTAGTAAATGGGAATCAAAGCCCATTTATGCCCAGTGTTCCATTATTGGAACACTAAGCATGCAAGAGTTATCTATACTGCTCAAGGTCATCTCCAAGGTCTGATTGCAAAAATTCAAAAAATTGCAACCTCAGGCACAAATGGATTAAGTGTTTGATGATAGAACCATTCTAAATTCAAATGTCTGTATTATTTTAAGTATGTATCAGATTCTTAAAGCGGAGGAAGAATGATCTAGCATAAATGAGAACCATAAAACTTGTCTGTTTTGTTTTGTGATTCGGGATAGGCAGCAATAGCGGAAAGTATACTGAGTGTTAGATCTGGGAGATTCCCTATTCCTAGGTTTGTTTCTTCTCTTGATTGGCTGACTCCAGATAATACATTCAGGTACAATAAACTTTATTTTCACTGTCTGCAAAATAAAGAGTCATTTTCACCACATTCAGTCATAGAGTCATTCTAAAGATGGAATAAGAATAGATGGGAAAATGTCCCCTTTTAAGTATAATGCCCAGAATGAGGATGACAAGCAGTATATGAATTGCATAGTAGTATCTGCTGACATTGAGAGCAATTATTTTAATGATTTTATTTCTGGGGTCTTTTTTCTCTGCCACAAAACTTGCCCAGGAATTGGTGTCATAGATAGCTCTTCCAAACTGAAGGTTTACAACTGACCAGATGAACAGGAGAATGTGAAGTGGATGGGGCATAAAAAGGATGAGGACACGTGCGTGCATAAAGATGACGAAACACAACCATTCTCTCTCTGTGGGTCTGCAGCCTTGCAGAGACTGGGTCAGTATTACCCCAAACACATGGCTGGGGAGCAAGGGAAAAAAATGTGTGCCCCAATGCTCCTGCAGCCTTCAATAAGCAAAGCTATGGTATCCTTCTATTTCAGTCTCTACATGCATCTCAGACTTCTAATGGTGCATCCTCACAATGCTAAATCCATCACTGTTCCCCAAAAGTATATCCGAATATTCATCAATGTTTAATGTAGAAAAGAAGAAGGGGTGAAGAAACTGGTATCTGAAGAAAGGTGTTTGAAATTTAAGAAAAAAAAATTGAGACTGAAAGACTTCTCTCATGCCCACTTCCAATGGGACACACAACTTGTGGCAGATTTTATTGATTTCCCAGGAATCAGTTTCCAAGAATAAACCAAATTTCACAGATGCATTTATCTAGTAGAATATTCTCAAAATGAGATTTTTAAAAGCCTTTCGTGAGTCTTTTCTCTAAAAGGGTTATAGGAAAACTTGATACAATAAAAGGCTATT